GAAGCGAAGTCCATTATCAAAAGCTGCCAGGAAGAAACAGACCTTTTTATGGACATGATGAATATATGTGGTGTACTCATCAGGACTCTAGGGCTGAACCCCTGGGGGGAAACGAAAGCAAGCGCTGAAAACCTTCAGGTCAATAGGGGTAAGTCCGCTAGAACCTACAAGTTCAGCGTTCCTAAAGGCAGCCCCTACGCCTGAACTAATGACTCCCACACCACTCACCTTGCCCTTACCCTTGTCAGCACTAGGAGGTATACGAGAGGAAGATGAGGGGAGTTCCTTGGAGTCTACCTCGGTATCGANTAATGACTCCCACACCATTCACCTTGCCCTTACCCTTGTCAGCACTAGGAGGTATACGAGAGGAAGATGAGGGGAGTTCCTTGGAGTCTACCTCGGTATCGACAGCCTCAACACCGAGAAAGTTGTCAATCTCATCACCTACATCCCCTAAATTAGAATCTCTCTCGACAGACCCGTCTCCTAGGAGGGAAACAGAGAAGGGAGTTGNTAATGACTCCCACACCACTCACCTTGCCCTTACCCTTGTCAGCACTAGGAGGTATACGAGAGGAAGATGAGGGGAGTTCCTTGGAGTCTACCTCGGTATCGACAGCCTCAACACCGAGAAAGTTGTCAATCTCATCACCTACATCCCCTAAATTAGAATCTCTCTCGACAGACCCGTCTCCTAGGAGGGAAACAGAGAAGGGAGTTGCTCCAGATGAGGCAGACATGACTGGCAAAGAGAAAGACAAATCGAAAGAATTATAAAAATGAGGAATACTAACTAAACAACCCCTGATAATCCTAGGGTCAGCACTGTACCTCTCGACAGTAAGAATTCGCACAGTGGAGTTTCAATCCACAAAGCGAGGAAGAGGAGATAGGCAACGATCGCGATTCCAAAAGAAAAAGAACCGAAAAACCCAGAAAAATAATGGTCACCTCGAAGTCGAGGGATCTAGAGTGAGGAAAGGCAACAGAAAGAGAAAGGGGCATAAGAAAGCATACCTAGACAGGGAAGAAGAGCAACAAACAGCAGCCAAAGAACAAAATTGGAGGAGAAGAACAAAGCAGGACTTCAAGTCGAACCTAAAAAGCACAACCTAGAGTAGAGAATAAGGGAATCGTGTGGAGAAAAGCCTAGAAATCACAGAGAGAAAGAGCCGGAGACGAAGGTGAACATCGTAGAAGATGAACGGTGGTTTTGTACGTTTTCTTTTAGCCGTTTTGAGCATTTAAGGCTTAACAGACATGGGATGAGGCGTGCGCAGGAACCAAGGGAGCCATGATTGCTACCATTATCAAAAAGTCTCTCCCACGTGCATCTCACATGCAGGTTAAGGTCAGATAGGCGCAGGTCTGGTCCAAGGTAAAAGCAGCTCAGCCCATGCCCAAGATCGCTTGGGCCAAGGGCTGGGGGGGCAACTGAAGATACCTCAAAATAAATCCCAAATGCCAGCTCATGAGGTCAGCTTAGCCTAAGAGGTCAGACCAGACGAACAAAACTCGGAAGAGTAGAGCTGGAGGTCCCTTCGAGATAAACAAGGGCAATAACAACCCAGACAACAGCTAAAAGATCACGAGAGGTTCCTAAAAGCGTTAGGAAGTTATAATCAAGGCACCAAATCTCAACCAACCAAGATCTTCTCCTAGAATTAGGGAGAATCCCACGAAATAAGGGCAAAAATCTCGACTAAGATCCCACTGAATAGGAAACAGCCCTATAAATACTATGTAACGCCCCTAAGGAGAGAGAAGAACCCTAGAGGCAAAAACTAGTCATTGTACTCTTGTAATCATCATTATTGAAAGACAAGGAGCAAGAGTCTCAATTAAATAGTGGATTAACCGAGCTCCCGAGCTGATGAACCACTATATTTCTACTGTGTTAATTCCCTAACTCCCCGACAATTTTTGGTATCATTCACTCGAGTCTAGTAGCTCAGATCCCAACAATTTCAATATTGTTCCTTTCATTTACTCGTCATCACAAAATTTGCATCACGTTGAAATACACCATCAATTTTGAAAGCCTTAATGATGAATATTTTCCAAAAAAAAAAAACATGACATTAATTATTACGGAGTAATGTGTGTCGATTAGTGGGTTGATTCTAATCGAATCACACTAATATTCTATTTGGTATGATAAAAAAATAAAAAGGTGGAAAGTTTAAGAATAGATAAAACACAATGTTTGATAAGAAATTGTGGAAAAGTTGATGAATCAACATTCTTTCTAACTCACAAAAATTAATCCCTACAAAATTAGGCAGAAAAAGAAGAAAAATAGTACTCACATTGGATAAAAATATGTTGTTTATTTTTTTAACCTTTATCTAATTGCTTATTTACATTAAACATCTAAACCCAAACTCATATACCAATTGGTGGAATTATATTATGTGTTAACACTCTATGTGTGTTTGTATATTGGTGTATTTATTATTTATTTTTTATTTAAAAATCAAATAAAAAATAGATGTATTCTTATGTGATTTGTATTTGTTAAAACACATGACGCATATACCATAGAGACATGGTGCATAATATATACACTAATTTCATATAAGGATAAAATAGTAAATTATGTATGTATATTGTTTTTATCTTTCTATTTTTTTCATCAATATTAAACACAAAGAAATTAATCATTTTTACTTTCATCCGTCCTACCAAATTAAATGAAGGAAAATGTATCATTTTTACTTTCCTTCTTTTGAGGAGGAAAGTGTATCATTTATACTTTTCTTTTTTGGAGGATAAAAAATGTATCCCTTCTACTTTTTATTATTTCTACCAAACAGAACGTAAGTATTTTGCTTGTAATGTCANGGAAAGTGTATCATTTATACTTTTCTTTTTTGGAGGATAAAAAATGTATCTCTTCTACTTTTTATTATTTCTACCAAACAGAACGTAAGTATTTTGCTTGTAATGTCATTTTACCTTCATCAATTGTGTTTTGGATACTTGATCGTCATTTTGGCCTTTCTAGGTTGTTACAATTACTTCTAAGTCGTGATTGATTGTAAGTCACAATCATTTTGAATTAGGCAGTGTTCCTAATGAATTCAATATGTTCCTATCAATGTATTTTAACTTGTCAACACTTACCAAAAAAAAAAAAAAACTTGTCAACAATTTTATTTTCTTTAACTAAACTAAAATGGTTTAATAGATTCTTGGGCCTTAGAATTCAATTCCACGCGAATGAGAAGTTCCAAGTCGCATGTGAGACCTTTACCTCGTTGGTTCGTCAAAGGTGCATGAACATTATGGGAAATTTAGGACTACATTCAATACTCCCCTTACTTGGCAAAAAATATTTTAAGAAAAATTACACTTAGACTTCTTGAGATTTGTCACTTAATCACTCAAATTTTTTGACATTTAAAATATTATATACAAATCTGTTGAAATTTGTACACGTGTAACACTTAGACCTTTGTCGTCAATGTTTATTAGTATATTCTTGATACTTAAACAAAAAATACTTCAATTAAAAATAGAATATCAAATATTTTAAAATTTACAACCAAAATTCATGTTCTATTGTATCATTCATTGAAATAAAAATTTAATTTAAAAAAAATCATAATTAGTATATTATCTATTGGAATTTAATTTGGTCGTTTAAACGACCAAATCAAATTATCTCAATTAAAGCTAGAATACATTGTAACCATTGCAGTTTGATCCCTTGTTTGATTTTTTAGTTTTATTCTAATAGATAGTATTATTGTATACTAATTATAATTTTTCAAGAAAAATTAAATTTTTATTTTTGATTTTATTTCAATAAATGATATAATAGAACATAAATTTTGGTTGTAAAATTCATGTTCTATTATGAATGACTTATATCCCTTGATTGATTTTTTAGTTTTATTACAATAGATAGTATAATTGTATACTAATTACAATTTTTTAAGAAAAAATTGGTTTTTTATTTTTGATTTTATTTTAATAAATGATATAAAAGAACATGAATTTTGATTTTAAAATTTAAAATATTTGATATTCTATTATTGATTAGATTATTTTTGGTCTAAATATAACATTTTAAACTTGAGGGGTCAAAGTATTATATACCTAGGGAGTTTGAATATAATTTATTAATTGATATACAAATAGACATTTGACAGTAGGGGTTTAAGTGTTACGTTCGTACAAACTTCAGTGGGTTTGTGTGTAATATTTCAAATGTCAAAGAATTTAAGTGATTAAGTGACAAATTTTAGTAAGTCTGAGTGTAATTCTTTCAATATTATATGATATTTCACACAACACATGGAATATTAATAGGCGTGCGTTGAATGTTGTATCACTTTTTTTTTTACGTTATTGAGTGTTTAGACGTGTGTTGATTACTCCGTCAAACTCTAAAATTGATTACAATAGTTTAAACTAGTTGAAAAATATGTTTTATGAANGTTTAAGTGATTAAGTGACAAATTTTAGGAAGTCTGAGTGTAATTTTTTCAATATTATATGATATTTCACACAACACATGGAATATTAATAGGCGCGCGTTGAATTTTGTATCACTTTTTTTTTTACGTTATTGAGTGTTTAGACGTGTGTTGATTACTCCATCAAACTCTAAAATTGATTACAATAGTTTAAACTAGTTGAAAAATATGTTTTATGAAGAATAAGTGTAGTTGACCGTTAAGAGGGGTGTGGGTTGGGTCAGCTCAATGACATGGTTATTGAAGCCGCCACTTTAAGCCCCCGAATTATTAGGGTCGAAAAAATTAAGCTATTAGCGGCGATCTCAATTAAATATTTTTACTTCAATATATGCGAAGAATCTTGTATCATTGTCGAGACAAGCACTAAAGACCAGTGGCACTTCTTTATAAAGGGAAAGGCTGTCGGGTCTTGTGAGTTAAGCAGCCTTAAAAAACAAGATGGAGATATATCCTCGTCTTTTCTTCTCTCTCTTTTCATTTGCCTTCTGTTTAATTTCACAACAAACAGCCATGAAAGCTACAGAAATAAGCTATGTGAAGGGCATTATAGGTGCCGTTGTGGATGAAAGAACTCGAGCTGGAAAAGAAGAAAAAGTGGCCATGGAGATGGCTATCAGTGATTTCTTCAACCACACCAATCAGAGATTGATTCTCCGAGTAAAAAACTCAAAAGGTCAACCTGTCCAAGCAGCTCTTGCTGGTATATAAGTTTTTGCATCTATTAATTACTATTTTATCTATCGATATTATTTGTGTTAATGACTTGTGTTTTTTTACAGATTTTTGAAATTTGAATTGAGTTTTTCTCAGTAAATAATAGCAGATACACACCATTAAGCTTGATATGTTACTAATGTTTGGATGTAGTAAGTGACAATGGGGTTTTCTTGAACACCTAGCTAGTTCAGTGGAGGGCAGATGATGCACACTGCCATGCGGACTTAGGTTGATTATCGTTGTACACCAATCGCCTATTGTCTTTAGATGGTTGTTCATTAAGAAAGAGAGAAAGAGAGAGAGGGAGATTATGATCAATTTCGTGCATGGCAAGGCATGCCCGGAATTTCTATAAACCAGAACCAAATAAGAGTGTACCTTAATGAATTACTTTCTATTGAATAAAGTACTTTCTATTGCAAATTCTTTTCATTCCCATGCAAGGCAACTGGCTTCTACTAAAACTATGTTCACGGGCAAAGCTAGAATTTCTACATAGGGTGGGCACAAATATGCATAAAAAATTCATAAATTGATATATATATATATATATAAGTTATTACATGTTTGGATATATCTGTAAGCACACACACGAAAAATATATTAATAGTCAAAACTAAGAAAATATTCGTTTCGTAGTCCGTTCAACTCAATTATCCATCTAAATAAAACTTAATGTTATTTCGTGTCTCGAAAAATTATATATAGATTCTCTTTTCAAAACTTCTAAGCACTTCCCTTTTTGTTATATATATATATAATCAAAGAGTCTACGACTAAGATGTCCTATATTTTATTGAGAAATGTATTTTTGACCATTTTACAACCAAAAATAATCCATAAGCCTAACAAGTAATATTAATTTGAATGATCATTCAAATCCAATACATAACTTATGTACTTTTTGACTTGATAAAACATTAGTAGATAACAGTCATTGAAGTTAAAGTTTGAAAAAATTTCTCAAAACATTGACATGCAAGGGTCAAGAAGAAAATATTAAAAAATTAATACGACATTACTTGAAAATTTTAGGGGAGTCTAATATAATATAAGTACTAAACTATATAATTGATAACACGATTTCACATCTTTTTAAGTCAAAATGACCGGGGAGAGAAAATATTCCTTGTCCGTCCACTGCTTGAGTTCCTCCAAGATGGAAATGAGGTTTTCCCCATTTTTGAATGTAGATTATCTTGGGCATGTACCCTGCGCTCTAACTAAGAATCATTTGAATCTAAGTTTGACAAATTTTTTTTAGAATTTCGACTTTTAGTTCAATCCTGCGCCCCATATTGCTATCAATATCTCCATGTCGCACGACCTCTTAACGTTACACTAGTGAATCCCCAATCCTTTGCTTATCATAATCCTAACTATCAGCCACCTTCACGGACACTTTAACGATAACGACAACAACAATTTAAAACATTCAAAGGGACTCCTAGAAAATTGAATTTCATTTGAACTTGTGTCCTTACATGAAATAACAAGTGACAAACAATACTAATCTCTCTATCATCACGACATTGATTTGCAGCTAAAGATCTTATCGATGCACAGAACATTGAAATAATTTTGGGACCGCGATCATGGGAAGAAGCAAAATTAGTCGCAGAGCTTTGTAGCCAATCTCAAATACCCATTGTCACTTTTGCTGATTTTTCTCCATGGGCAATGAACCTGTGGCCCTTCCTCATTCAAGCCTCGCCTAGCCAACATATGCAAATGAAAGCAGTGGCCGCCATTGTTCAATCTTGGGGATGGCGTCGGGTCACTGTTATATGTGAAGAAGATGCTGAATCTGCTTCCAATGGATTAATTGTCCCTCATCTCTATGATGATCTACGAGAAATAGGTGCAGAAATAAGCAATTTTACAGTTCTCTGGCCATATATTACTTCCACTTCATTGTCTGAAGAGCTTAAGAGGCTTAAGAAAGAGCAATGCAGAGTCTTTGTGGTTCATACGTCCTCCTCCCCCTTGACGAAACTCCTGTTTGAAGAGGCCAAGAAGATGGATATGATGGGACAGGATTATGTATGGATCACCACAGACGCCACGACAAGTCTTCTTCATTCTTTCAATTCATCGACACTCTCCTCCATGCAAGGTGTTCTAGGAGTCAAGACCTATTTTCCTGAAACGGGTCCACAATTTCAAGATTTCTACACAAGATTTTGTACCAAGTTCATCTCGGCTTATCCTGAAGAAGAGAAAAATGATCCTGGAATTTTCGCAGTGCAGGCTTATGATGCTACATGGGCAGTGGCTCTAGCAATAGAAGAAGGTAGCATCGATGGCAAGGATTTCATAGAAACAGTTTTGGAGACTGATTTCATCGGCTTAAGCGGTAGAGTCAAGTTTGTTGAACAGAAATTAGCTCCAACACATGTTTTTCAGATCATCAACATAGTTGGAAAGAGTTATAGAGAACTTGGGTTCTGGTATGATGGATTAGGTTTCTCAACGACCATTGATGGAGAAGCTTTGAGCAATGATTCCATGAAAATTTTGGGGCAGGTGTATTGGCCTGGAGGACCTTGGTCTACTCCAAAAGGATGGACCCTTCCAAAAACCACCAACCCTTTGAGAATTGGAGTGCCCGAGGGAGACCCAACAAAGCGATTTGCACAAGTGTATTACGATAACACCACAAATAGCTACTACTTCGGTGGATTTTCGATCGCAGTGTTCAAAGCAACCCTTAAACACTTGCCATATGATTTGCCTTATGAGTTCATTCCATTTGATGGCTCCTATGATGCTTTAGTGGAGAAAATCCATTTAAAGGTGAGATATGTCCTAAACTCGAATTCAATCTATGCTGTAAACCCCTAAACTCCTGTTCAACTCGAATCCCAATTAAGCCTGAGTAGTGTGTGTTTAAAATCAATTTTTGGGTTTCGAGTTACCAACTCAATTTTTCTCACCATTATATTTAGTATGTCTACAACAAAAGCCTAAAACTGACATACTTTATGTCTGCATGGTAGGAGTTTGACGCAGTAGTTGGTGATGTGGCCATAATATCCAGCAGATGTAGTCATGCAGAATTCACACAACCCCACACTGAATCAGGACTGCTGATGGTAGTCCCCGTGCGATCTCAATCAGGCGATAAAGCTTTGCTGTTCACGAAGCCCTTCACAAGAACCATGTGGTTTCTTACAGCATTTGTAACTGTTTACAACGGCTTTGTTATATGGATAATAGAGCGGCCTCACTCGTGTGAACATAGAAGCTCAGTACTGAATCAAACAGGAACCCTCCTTTGGTTGTCTTTCACCACATTGTTATCTTTAAATGGTACCATCTAACTCAATGTTCTATCTTTAAATGGCTTTCTCCATATATATGTGTGTGTGTGTGTATTGGGTGCAATTTGGACTGCTTAGGGAGGGTTAAGAGATCAACCGGCGCTCAACCCAACTTTAACCTGAATCCAATTTAATTTTAGTATTGCTTGTTTAAATTCTTGAACTCGTGTTACACAATTTTGATTTGATCCTCGTGACTGTCCTGATAACCCAAGACCCCAACCCAAATATTTTTCAATGTTAAATGGGGTGAAATTATATTGTGCTCGGATTGATTATTCCAAATCTCAGCACTAAGCTCATGACATTGCTTGATTTGTTGGGTATAGGGGAAAAGCTACATAGCAACTTGTCACGGATGGCAGTGGTGGCCTGGCTGTTTGTGGCACTAATCATCACACAAAGTTACTCGGCAAACCTTACCAGCATGCTCACTGTCCAACGGCTCCAACCAACAGTAGCAGACATTGAGACACTCAAGTATAGCAATGCCTTGGTGGGGTACGCCAGGGAGTCATTTGTGGGGAATTATTTGGTGGAAGTTTTGCAGTTTAAGATTGGGAATTGCAAAAGCTACTCAACAATAGAAGAATACGCTCTTGCCCTCAGAAATGAGGAAATAGCAGCAGCCTTTCTTGAAGCTCCTGTGGCCAAGCTCTTGCTTGCTAAGTACTGCAAAGGTTTTGTTACAGCAGGACCAACATACAAAGTTGGAGGATACGGATACGTAAATCAACCTCTCCTGCCTTCTTTCATTTCTTCTTCTTCTTCTCCTTGTTTTTTGTTTTGGCATTACAGTTCATTGTGAACAGAAGAGTGGCCTGCATATTGGGTTGTTTCCACTTTAATTAGGAAAGACCCTTTCTTACAAGTAAGAGATTTCAGGTTTGATATTTCTTACACTCTCTAAGAGTCAATACCCTTATTCCTCGTGAATATGTCTTTAAATTATTTCGAGTTATGATGACTAGTTTAGAACTTGAGGAGTAATTGACAAGTTTAGTCACCTATAACAAAGAAAAAAAAAAGGGAACACCCAAACCCTATTAGATCTGGGGTAGACTGGTTTGGTTTTGTTCTTGATGGGAAAACTTCACAGTTCACAAACATAAACACATCATCAATCCTTTACACTACAACAGCATTGCATCACTTCTACAATGTCCGCTGCAAACGTGCATCCAGGGACAGATTTGTGGAAACTCACATGAGAGGCAGCAAATGTTAGAATTTGGGATCATACGCAAGTTGGATACAAACCGACCCCAAAACCTTAAGCCTAAACTTGGAGGAGTTTTTTACAATTTTATCGAAAAATCCCATTGTTGGCTCATTCTTCGTCGAATTATATGGATGATTTAGCGATGATGGAATTTATATTATGTTTACTGAATCACGGACTGTGCACAAAAAGACTTAGTTGGAACAAACCCCTATAGCTTATGCTTAGTTTTTTAGGTAAGGTTTATATCCAATTTGTATATGATCAATTTTGGGCATGACTAACGAGTCTGTCGTCTATTGTGCCACAGGCATTTCCAAGAGGATCTCCATTTCTTCCTGACATCAATAAAGGATTACTGGAGGTCTCTGAGAGAGGTGAACTACTAGAGCTGGAGAAGACTATGATAGTTTCTGAGAAGTGCGTGGATGAGGAATCAGATCACGAAAATGTTAGTCTAAGCCCCAGCAGCTTCTGGGTACTCTTCATTCTCACAGGAAGCATCTCAACAGCTGCTCTAGCAATCTACGTGATTCAACGCAAAATTGAATATTCTATGTTGCTACTTAAAACCACTTGGGTGTCAATGTGGATAGCCATGCAACAATTGCAGAATCAGAAAAGTCGATTCTGTAAAAGAGTTGGCCCCGCAAACACTGTCCAAATTGGTTCCAACACATCAGATTCATTGACTCAAGTTTAGAACGTTCAAGACCATAAAAGTCGTGTTCTTTCCCATTGGTTAAATTGTTTGGCCTAGCAAGTGAAAAGTGAAAAATAGTAATAAACATGACTTTTCATGTCTTAGAAGTTATTTTTATACATTTAGTCTTTTATATTAGTAGGTCATCAATTTGCTAATAGTGAGAGACAAAGTAATTGTGGTCTTTTAATTCTCTAAATAATAGAGGAGTGGTGTCTTTATTGTTTTTATTATTGCATTTTTGTATGTCATGTGTTATCTATGAGAGTCTATATATATCACATATAATACACTTATTTGGGTATGAGTGAATATAAAGAGTTTTTTCTATCTTTAATAATCTCTTCCATTAAATTTTTTTTGTGTGCGACAGTTTTTTAGATTCTAACACTTGCTTCTCAATCAGAATGTGAGAGGCATTTTGTATATACCTTGTATCTAGGGTTAGGATATATTATCAAACAAAGGCGTGCCATTGAGTGATGTGTTGAGACTTGTTCTATGTGTCCTAGGAAACTTCTTCCAAGTGTTGGAGTATATTTGATCTTTCAATAATAAAAACTATATATGTATAGATATAAGTGTGGGAATTTTTTTAACTTGAGATATCACATGTAAAAAAATCTTACAAGTTAGAGACCCTCACTATAATACACTGTGAATGAACTCACCACTTATAAATTTAAGTTTTTATGTAGGTTTGAGGTTCTAATTTGTATATTAGGCATTGTTAGTAACTTATATCTCTCAATAAGTTGTTTTAGAGTCATGACTAACATGCTAGAATTCTTCACCAGACGCATTCTGGTATGAATAAATAATAATGGGCTATTGTAGTTGAAGTCGCAGTATTGCAATAATTAAATAATGTTGAGATGACTCTAGCAAAGAATGATCTACTCTTCATTGGTAGGACTAGGGGTTCAGCTGGAAGTAGTCACTCAAGGCCTATACTAGTATTCTTCCATCTGAACTCTAAATCCTACAATTAATTTTTGTTGCTGTCCAAGCAGGCATTATATGTATCTTTTTGTGTTTTTGTGCAAGGAGTTACTTACATGTATCCATCCATTGTGAATCATTTGTTGATTAATACAATTACAGTTTACTTTATTTAAAAAAAAAAAAATGACTCTAGTAAAGAATGATGTGGATCATACTCAAAGAGTATTTAAAACCTTTATTATTGTTTTAAGCTTTTTGGATAAGTTTGACCATATATTGAACCTCGTTACTGGATTTCATCTCCAAACTTGCAAACAAGAAAAATCAAAGCAATTCCTCAAACCATTTTTCTCTTCTTCCTCTTCTTCTTTTTTATACTTACATAGAACCAAAAAGAAGGTATACAAGATAATTATTACATGCCAAATTAATACAGAACCCTACCCCAGAAGACCCCTCCTTTAATACATCCCAATACAAAGGTCTCACTTCCACAAACCACCATTGTTTTTGGTTCCCAAATGAATTGTAAAAAATAATTAAAATCATACAGTAAAATACAAAGGAATCAACCCTTCTCCAATTTCTCTCTCTCTCTCTCTCTCTTCAAGTTTAGTTATTGAAAACGCCCTATCCAATTACGTTAGAGTAGAGCGAAACCATGTTATCACCATCTTATACCAACTGTCAGACATGGCCTTTTCACACACTCCAACTTGCAGACTGGTCAGAATGTCTACTTTAACAAGAGAAAAGGGGAACCCATCACGTGAATCCACAGTTTAGCAGATCGCACCACAGCCTCTCACTCCCCCCTATCCCCCCCTCTCCCCATACACACACACACATTGACGAGCTACTCCTCGTCCGTACAACCCATTTTGTTGAAGGTTGGTGGCGGTGAAGGAGGTGGTGGTGCACTGGCGGCATTGTTATCCATCTTCTTCGTGTTCTGTTCATGATATATTTGTCTTAGCCTCTCTATCTCCTTCTTCAATGCTTCTTGATGAGCTGCCATTTTAAGTAAACAAGAAAAAAAAAAACCAATAAGAATTTGTCTTTTTTCACACAGACCATTTTAGAAAAGTTGAAGAAATAAATTCGTAACGTCTAAGATAAGCAACTTATATAGTATGGTTACTGTGTGCACCTACCTCCCAAAGAGCTTAAATGACAGCAAAAATAATGGATTTTAATTTTCTTTTCAATAATAATAAGTGGCTTTTATGACATAAATGGTTAGGTACAAGAAATGTCTTGTCAAGTTTTTTAAGGTTCAGTTAAAAAAAAAAAAACAAAGTTTTTTAAGGTTACACCCATCAAACTTATCAATCCAGTTCCTTAAGTAATTCGTCATTCTTATTAAATTATCGACGACTTTTAAGATTAGATATAATTCATCGTTAATTTGGTGATTATAGTGAATTTGACGAACAGTGATGTTTTAAGTGATATGTTCTCAAATATCAATGAAAAAAGTCAAAAAGTTGTTCTTAAAATAATGTTAATGGAACATATACAAATACGTTACCTAGAAAATTACGTCAGGCAGGGATGCGGTCAAAATTTTTTTTCTTGGGTGGACAATTTCCATGGTTCATTTTTTTTTAGAAAAATATTTGCAATTAACCAGAGTTTTTATATTTGAAAACATTATATGATAATTTCATTGTTAGTGNGGTGGTGGTGCACTGGCGGCATTGTTATCCATCCTCTTCGTGTTCTGTTCATGATATATTTGTCTTAGCCTCTCTATCTCCTTCTTTAATGCTTCTTGATGAGCTGCCATTTTAAGTAAACAAGAAAAAAAAAAACCAATAAGAATTTGTCTTTTTTCACACAGACCATTTTAGAAAAGTTGAAGAAATAAATTCGTAACGTCTAAGATAAGCAACTTATATAGTATGGTTACTGTGTGCACCTACCTCCCAAAGAGCTTAAATGACAGCAAAAATAATGGATTTTAATTTTCTTTTCAATAATAATAAGTGGCTTTTATGACATAAATGGTTAGGTACAAGAAATGTCTTGTCAAGTTTTTTAAGGTTCAGTTAAAAAAAAAAAAACAAAGTTTTTTAAGGTTACACCCATCAAACTTATCAATCCAGTTCCTTAAGTAATTCGTCATTCTTATTAAATTATCGGCGACTCTTAAGATTAGATATAATTCATCGTTAATTTGGTGATTATAGTGAATTTGACAAACAGTGATGTTTTAAGTGATATGTTCTCAAATATCAATGAAAAAAGTCAAAAAGTTGTTCTTAAAATAATGTTAATGGAACATATACAAATACGTTACCTAGAAAATTACGTCAGGCAGGGATGCGGTCAAAATTTTTTTTCTTGGGTGGACAATTTCCATGGTTCATTTTTTTTTAGAAAAATATTTGCAATTAACCAGAGTTTTTATATTTGAAAACATTATATGATAATTTCATTGTTAGTGCTATCAAAAATATCTTTCTTTATAGATAATCAAGTTATTAGTCATTCATTGATATCATTTAGTTATGTAATTAAATTCAATCTTCACTTTTAATTTATAGGCAAAAATACTTAAGTTGTGAAAAAATAAAAATTAAAACAGTAAGTCGTAGAAAAATAAAAACTAATTGTAGACTAATTTCACTTTTAATACGTACTCAAAGTCAATTGAAGAAAATCTCGAAACTATAAAACTAACCAGATATATAATTACAGGTCAATCACAACTCATATTTTTATAAAATACTGTCAAAAATAGAAGTGATAGGGTGGACATAACAAAATATATTTGAATAATATATAAATTTATATTTTTCCATACAATTACTAGATCCACCCACGTAAAAGTTTTAGGTACCAATAACATATATGCTGGATTTGGAGCTATTGCATGTGAAAAGAGCAAGTAGCAACTGGCCACTAGCNAAGTTCCTTAAGTAATTCGTCATTCTTATTAAATTATCGGCGACTCTTAAGATTAGATATAATTCATCGTTAATTTGGTGATTATAGTGAATTTGACAAACAGTGATGTTTTAAGTGATATGTTCTCAAATATCAATGAAAAAAGTCAAAAAGTTGTTCTTAAAATAATGTTAATGGAACATATACAAATACGTTACCTAGAAAATTACGTCAGGCAGGGATGCGGTCAAAATTTTTTTTCTTGGGTGGACAATTTCCATGGTTCATTTTTTTTTAGAAAAATATTTGCAATTAACCAGAGTTTTTATATTTGAAAACATTATATGATAATTTCATTGTTAGTGCTATCAAAAATATCTTTCTTTATAGATAATCAAGTTATTAGTCATTCATTGATATCATTTAGTTATGTAATTAAATTCAATCTTCACTTTTAATTTATAGGCAAAAATACTTAAGTTGTGAAAAAATAAAAATTAAAACAGTAAGTCATAGAAAAATAAAAAATAATTGTAGACTAATTTCACTTTTAATACGTAATCAAAGTCAATTGAAGAAAATCTCGAAACTATAAAACTAACTAGATATATAATTATAGGTCAATCACAACTTATATTTTTATAAAATACTGTCAAAAATAGAAGTGATAGGGTGGACATAACAAAATATATTTGAATAATATATAAATTTATATTTTTCCATACAATTACTAGATCCACCCACGTAAAAGTTTTAGGTACCAATAACATATATGCTGGATTTGGAGCTATTGCATGTGAAAAGAGCAAGTAGCAACTGGCCACTAGCACATGCATGTTGCATCTTTAATTCAAAAACATGAAACTTCCACGTCTCCGATGGAGACATCTCTAAAATTAGTTGGTGTGAGAAAGTAGTTGGTAATGATATTGTCAACCAAATCATTAAGAACAAAGCATGTCTAAAATTCAAAATTTAAGCTCTTACCATCTTTGAAAATCTTATCTTGAGCCAGTGCTGCTATCCGTTGCTTAAGAGCGCTATTGTCAACGTTGAGAATCAACCGTTGATGGTCGAGAAATGCAACCCTCGGTGACAATGCCGACACTTCTGTCTGCAATTGTATAATGTTTAAGGAAGTCAGTAATGTAGTGTTCTTAATAAACTACGATTGATCACTATTACAAAAACGATGTAATCACGATTACATACTTGTAAAGTTGAGACGCTCCGTTCAAGCTCTGATATATATTGCAGCTTCCTCACTCGTGACCTTTGAGCTGATTGTCGATTTGCCAAAATTCTGATAAAAACCCCAAGAACAATTAATCAAGAATCTCTTAGTTTACACCTTATATCTGATATTGTTGGAAATAGTGAGTGACTCATATTTATTTGGTCTTTCTAACTTTAATGTGAATAATGTTTATTTGATTTCACTTTTGGATAAGGATATATTCCCTGGTAAAAGTCAATGAGCTAATTCAATGGTATTACGGTTTGATTGTTGCGGTCGAATAATAGATTGGAAATGCTGAGAATATCCCACAATAGGGAATACTTTGTGGCAGAGTGTGAATTTCAATATTTTCCATTGTATCAGATTTACTAGAATTAGGTTTATTAGTCGGGTCAGGATTATCATCAAATTAGCAATTAAAAAAAGTCTTTTTTTTACATGGGTTCAGTGAAAATCTTATGCTATCTCATAGGCTAATAATTAAAATGTGGCATTAGGGTTTTTAAAATGTGGGTACGCTATTTAATGCCGATCTTTACATAATTAATTCCTAGGTAATATTAAAGATTTAAGGACTTTGACAACGTGGGTTCATAGATTTTGGTACCTCTTGACCCTCTTGGGATCCACGATGGTGTCGCCAGAAAAGTTAGCAGAAGGCTTGTTGGGTTGTTGAGTTTCGGATTTGCATGAACTGTCCACCACCTCTCCGGGTTCATTCTTCGGTTGATGTTGGTGGTTCTCTGGTGGCGTTGGCTTCTCATCAACATCGCTATTTAGATCGGACGGCGTTGATGGATTAGTACTCGACGGCGCTACATCTTCGGAAAACATACACCGGAGCTGCTCATCATCCAAACGTTCAAACCCATTGTTGGTGCATTGCATTTGCATCAATGTGCCATTAGAATTGTTGCATTCTTCACCAAATGGGGATTCAATGAATGAAATGGGGTCACTCACCGACCTCCGGTGAGAATTCCTCCTCGCCGCCGAGAAGTCCAGGAATTCATCAACCCAAGAATGCTGTTGGGTGGTGGCGGCGGCGGTGGATGGCATTGGCATCATTTGGAGAGAAAATGAATGCCAATTATGGGCCATGGATGGAACTTTGGGTGGTAATTGTGCCATGTAAATGGGTGCCTATTGACTCGATTTATGCAGCAAAAGAGCAATCTAGCTAAGCAAAGTGGCAATCTTTAGAAAATCTTCATGTAAACCTTGAGAGAAGCTTTCAGAATTTTTAGGGAATGAGATCATGACAGATATATATTGCAATTAAACAGAAGAACATGATCAGAATTGCATGTGCTCTCTCTCTCTCTCTCTCGTTTTGAGTTTTGAGGCCCAGAGATATCGGAGGGACGGGGGTGGTGGGTCACATGGTGGAGGGATTAGGACAGCTAGCAACAGCTGGTGGAAGGGCGTCTCAACGGTTTCACTAGAAAGTCGCAGTGGTCTAATTACTGGAGGAATCAGCCCACCACGTGCCGATGTGACCCATGGCCTCACCACTTTTTTATAATCTAATCACTTTGGTCTGTGATGGTTTTTGTTCTCTATATATCCACCACATTCAACTATGCTGTTCTTGTGCATCATTCACCCTTGGATTAATATATCATTTTTGATCATCTTCCCATTTCCAATAGCTCCTAAATTAGGAAAATTTCCCCTAATTAACAACATCCAACTTGAGATGTGGAGTAGTGGTTAAATTCAGATAAGGAAGTTTCAAATATTTATAATAAAATTATCGATTATCTTCTTCTTTTTTTCATTGGAGATTATGTAAGAACAATAATTACAATAGTTCACACCGAACCCTCAACCAATCATATTGGGTGAGGAATCGAATAACCCCAACCCCACATAAATTGGTATTGAATTATTAGATTAATCAAGAAAACAACAATCTTTTCCATTGCTTATATTGTAATTTGAGCATTTAATCACAACCCTTTAGATCTTCGTTAATCAAATAAAAGAACCAGATATGGATCATTTGTTAGTTTTTTAATGACAAGAGTGTTATTTCGCAAAACGACATTATTTTACATCAAATGAAATTATTTTATTAAATAAAAAGGTATCAATTTGATATGAAACAACGGCAATTTGAAAAACAATACATTTATTTTACAGCAGAGGATCTAGACTCTAAAAGAACCAGATGGGGGTAGCATGATCTTTTCCATCATTTGTATTGTGATTGATCGGGCGACAATAAATAGGTGTGGATAACATTTTGGTTGTGGTAGGATTACATGGGAAAGAGTCCTCCCATGATGGGATAAATATAACAGATCGTGGTAGAGTGAAAGGATATAGGATATAGGGAGGGATGAGCTGTGGCTTGTGAAAGAAAGGGAGCCTGCTAGAATCATGTCTTCTCTCCCCCATGTGAACTGTTCCAAAGCCCCCACCTCTCTTTGATTTGTCCCCAAATCATACTCACATGCATGCTATGGGTCTCTCTCTCTCTCTCTCACACACACACACACACACAAGTTTCTTAGTAGCTTCCATCATCCTATGTTGGTAGTTATGTCGTTATTTTAATGAAAGCACTTACGAGACACTAATAATGACCGGTGAAAAGAGGCAGGTTTGTTAAGTTTGGGTTAATTGTATCGGAGGTTTCTAATGTATAGAATTTATTTAATATAATTCTTAATATTTTAATTGTATTATTTTGACCCCTAAAATATTGAATATATTTTTATATAATCTTTTGAGCAGACAACATCTAAATTATTAACGATTTTTTATCATAAATTTATCAAGTAATACTAAAAAATGGACAAAAAAATAAATTATGTAACTTTTGACCGAAATTTGGATAGCTTGTGATCAAAACTGTATAATTTGGATAGCTCATTGACCAAAGTTCGGGTAAAAATTTGGTCAAGTGTTATTTAAATTATTTTTTTGTCCATATTTAGGTATTACGTGACAAGTTTATAGCAAAAAATAATTAGCAATATGAATATTGTCTGTTTAAAGGACCACATAGAAATACATTTAACACTTCACGGACCAAAAAAATGTAATTGAAATATTAGGGATCAAGATGAAACAAATCCCACTAAGAATCTCCAGTGCAATTAATCTTCACGGACCAGATAGACTTAATTATTTAGATGTCGAACGAATCCCACATTGGTTGATGATGAAGGAGTCTTAGGTAATATAAGAGAGCGAATCACTCCACCTATGAGGTGTGTCTTTTGGGCTGAAAACTCATGCCCAATAAATGATATCAGGGACATGGTCCAAGCCATCGTGTGCCTCAGCTCCTTGTGTCGGATGAGAGAACGATGCTGGTAATTAATTGTAAGTCTAGTTTGAGAGGAGAATTGTTAAGGTATCAAACGAGTTCCACATCGATTGGTGATGAAGAGGTTCTGAGCCATATAGAGAGCGAATCACTCCACCTACTAGGTACGCCTTTTGGACTGAAAACTCATGTCCAACACTGATTTATTAACTTTAATTGTTAATCGTATTTATTAGTTTTGTTGGATCGATAATAAATTTGATTTTTATTAAAAGTCACTCCAAATCTTAATAGTAATAATAAATTATACTGATAAATAAGGTCAACAAACTCCATTCACTACTCTTGTACTTCCATCTTCTCTATCACGTAAAAGCATGTCCACTTAAATCCTTGTTAATTGAAAAACCGTGTATTTGTAATTTCAATATCTTTCATGCATGTACATTAATATGATACACCAACCATCCTAAAAAATGCAGTGATCCACACAAATATAATCTACTTTACAAAGTTCATTGTTAATTTCTTTTAGGTTTAATTATAAAATGTCCCTTTTAAGTTCCTCCTTTAGGTTTTAATTTCAATACATAGTCACCTTTTAAGTTTGAATATATTGCAATTAATTCTAATAGTTATTTTTAAACAGTAAAAATCGATAAAAGTTAGACATGTCAAATTCACATGATCTCTAATTTGTCGAAAATAAATAATTACCCTTAACACTTATTTTTTTCATGTACCAAATTTCTATACTTTCCCCTAACCCTTACAACCTTCCATCCTCCTCTACCTCGGATGGTTTACTCTCATTTTCTTTTTCCTTCCGGTACAAATCCTTCCTTTCCTATGACAAGGCAGAGATAAAGGTTTTCTTATTTTTTAGTTTTGACTTTTTAGTTTTCTTATTTTTTTTAGGAATAAAATTGATATATCAAGAAATAAATAATGTACAAGATAGATAATGTAATAGTTCTTTCAGGTGTTCAACCATTACTATTATTCAATTTAATCCATTTAAAATTTAGAGGGGATAAATTGTAAAACCACAAAAAACTTATTGTAACAAGTAACATAGCTAGAAGCAAAAGACTGTAATTAACCCTTCTTTTTATAAGGGAGAACTGTTTCTATCTTGTATCTTTTTATATATAAGGGGTAACAAAGACAAATTACAACTGCATATAAACTATTCACAAGTCACATTGAATATGTTAAATTTTCTTATCAGGTTTAAACATACAACTTTGAAATATTAGGCCAATCTAACTAAAGATCAAATGGCCTGTATGTCCCATACAAGATTCATCTCTTAAAAAAATTACAAAAGTTATTCAAAACGTGCATAAATTAATCCGAATAACTATTGCCCTTCGAAAAAAAAAAAAAAAAAAAGGCCTACATGCATGGGCATTCCGCTGCAAATTCACAACCATCTACTCTTTCCCACCCTCTCTTTCTCTCTCTCCCTCCAATTATTTCTAGTTTTGGGATCCCAAAAAATTCAAAAGCACCGTACAAGAGAAAGAAGAGTAGGGCTGTTACCCGAAAACAAAAGCAGCGTGATAGCACGTGGGAGGGCACAGAAGGCCCTACTTAAATATATTTAAAAAAAAAAAAAAAAAACTTTCTCAAATAATTCAAAACAGGCAAACTTGGGTCCCATGCATGATTATAAAAAAAAAATATCGTCTAGTCAAATTAGTAAGAGATCAAATTTTCTTACTCAATAGAACTACATTTAATTTTGTCCAGAGCAGGCGATGAAACAATGCTCCCTAATAGATATATGAAGTGATCTATTTATATATCCATTACAAACTTTTTTCATATGACATTCAAACCTAAAAAACATAAAAAATTAGCAGTTAGGAACCCTGTTAAATATACCTTCAATTTGAATTTAAAGACATCAACGTGCGTATTTGGTTTTGTTGTAACCTTCCAATTCTCGATTTCATCCTCCAGGTCAGATTTTTCATTGAAATGTATTGTATTAAATTAATTTTTTTACTTAACTTTGAAAAAAAAATTTGAGCCAAGGTTGAAGATACTCTAAAAACAATGTATACATATGTAACTAATGATAATTTGATATGCATAGCCACATTCACCATTTTCTTTTACATTTATTCATTCATTAGGTACACAATGCTGGGCAATTTCACAGGACAATAGCTTATTACCAGATCTATATACGAAGCCCACAAACCCCAAGACAAAGAGCCTCCAATTCCAGACTAATTGTGCCCATTCTGGAAGTCTCCACTTTGAGCTTTTGTAGCTTCACCAGAGAAATGGGGCCTCAATCCAATCCAGCACTGGTAATAATCATGATCCAAGAAGGGAGAGTCCAAAGCCCACGGGCATACTCGGGGTATTAGACATGATTCAAACATAAAAGCCATGGTATCTGCTATTCTCCGTGGTCCTGATTCATTTCCAAGTGCAACTGTAGCCTGTGAGACAAAAAGAAAAAAATTTTCAGATCACCCCAACCGAAAGAAGAGACAAAAATTTATCAATTCAACCCCAAGGTAGTTCAAATGATAACAGAAACGAATTATAAACTCAAACGTTTTGAGTTTAAATCTTGACAACTCCTTAACACCAGACTATAAGGGATTTATCTCTCATGAATTCTCTAGTCTCGGCGTAGATAGTCTGCCTTTGACCGGATCATAAAAGGGATTAGTCAATGTACGCGTAAACTGGCCTGGACACCCTTGAATCAAAAAAAAATATTATAACTTTCCCTAGACCCCGCAATGGCGATAACCTCGTGCAATAGGTATGCCTTTTATCAATCCGTTTTAAGATACTAAATCACTAGTTAAACAGTTGGACACACAGCCAACGAGTTAAGTTGGAACGACGTAATTTTGTATGCAAGAAAATAAGGAAAATCAGTGCCCAGCTTTGCCTTCAGTTTACGAACAATGGGCTTACCTCATATGTTCTAGTATCAGGACCATGGGGTGTCATGCAGCTATGGAGGCTCGCACCACCTGGTAGAAAGCCATCAGCTTTTGCCTGAAAACAAGGTCAAGACTATTCAAAAATACCACTCATTCAAGGATAATCTAGTTAAAATACAGAAAGAAAACCCAAAAAAAAAAAAAAAAGAGAAGAACTACTGATTTCAAGTTTCATCCCCTTCTAAGTTCGTGTTAGTGCTAATGTCAAACCAATCACGACCCCATAATAACAATAAAAAATGTGTTAAACTATTAGCTTGAGAAGGGAATGCCGAGAGAAAACTTGTTAGGTCATGTCAAATACATAATTCAAAATCGAAAACATTCAGTAGTCATTCTTATCTATGTGAAATAGAATGGGCATCTTGAAATCTCACGAAACGAATCAATGTCAATTATATTGCTTAAAAAAGCAACAGAATGCTGATCTAAGTGCAACACATATTTCTCCATACTTCATGCCAATTTGAGACCTATGGGTGCATATTTGTTCTTCTTTTCCACCCTCCC